TTTGCAAAGCCGTGTATTATAAACCCGCGTATGTTAAGGGCCGACTGTATATTAAAATTATTCACTGTTTTACTAGGATTCCAGCAACGCCAGCAGATGGGGGAGAGAGAGGGTGCGAGGGGGCGTGGGGGGAGGGGAGGTAGTACGTTTGACAGTTGGCACAGGCCCAGGTCTTAAGCGTGTATATTTATCAGTTCTTAGGTGACTAAGCTTCTCTCTTATAAAAAGCCAGTGATATGACCTAGGTGAATATAATTAACATAGCTGGGATTCTTGTAAGATACTGATTAATTTGAATATAAACATGCTATAATTTGCACTAGACAAAACAATTTTAGTACCGTAATCAAATTTGTACAGTTGTACCCCACTTAACGCGATTTCTCATATACGCGGTGCCTCGCCAGGACCGAACTTTCACTTAACGCGGTTCATCTACTCATATACGCGGGAAGCGGCGCGGGCACGATGCGCACAAGGTCGCCCAGTCATCAAAACATTACCGAGTTCTTCACCCGCCACCCACCACAGCCGGCCCAAGTCAGTGATAGTGATAATTATAGTGAGGATATGGACTTATATGGACTTTGAGGGGTTTGACAAAGAGGCCCTGCAAGCCTCTGTGGTGGATAGTGATACAATTGATACAAGTGATACAGGTGAGGGCCAATAATCTGCCCTCTCCCTCGGAACCAACCCCCCATCCCCGTGTGCCCAGCCATCTTTTCTACAAATGTAAGTGTTAAAAAACCTAATATTATTGATATTTCTCTTAATTATTAATTGTGTGTGCATACCATCATAAAGTTAAGATAATATTTTTACTACAACATTAGTTGTGTGTCGTAAAAAAGTGGAGTTTGGGGATCGGGCCAGTCTCTATTGGAATTAATCCCATATGTTCTGTTGTTCACTTAACGCGGTACCCTGTGTGTTCAATTGACCGCGTTAAGCGGGGTACTACTGTACATGTGCACTCCAGCTTTGCACTAAGAAATCTATGTAAATCTACCCAAAAATACAGTTGAAAAACTTTTTTATAAAATGTACTACAGTACTGTACACTAATGTACAACAATTTTTATCTCTTGAGCAAAATATATGATGTTTATATTCAAATTATTGGCTGTCTTGCAAGGATTCCAGCAATGCAAATTATAATCTCATAACTTTAGTCTGAGATATTATATAAGACAAAAACTGTAAACCTAAAAGCCTGGCTGGTGGGGGGGAGGAAGGAAGGGAGGAAAGGGAGGGACTGACGGAACCAGCCACGCCACCCAGCGAGGGGTTGAGGGGGGGAGGTTGAGGTGATAAGTTTGAGGCGAAGGTCTCTGTGTGTTTATTTAACAGTCCTACTAAGCTTCTCTCATTTTAAAATGCCAGTGATATGACCTAGGAAAATATAATTAACATAGCTTGGATTCTTGTAAGATACTGATTTATTTGAATATAAACATGTTGTAATTCGCACTAGACATAACAATTTTAGTACCGTAATCAAATTAGTACTTGTGCACTCCATCTTTCCTTTAAGGTCATTTATTTATTTTACGTTTCTTTTAATATGGTGTGTGCATGTAAATGGATGAAAATAAATGAAGAAATTTATGTAAATCTACCCAAAAATACAGTTGAAAACTTTTTATAAAATGTACTACAGTACTGTACACTAATGTACTACATTTTTTATATCTGGAGCAAAATATATGACGCTTATATTCAAATTAATCTCTGTCTTGCAAGGATTTCAGCAACGCAAATTATATTATCGTAACTTTAGTCTGAGATATTATATAAAATAAACATAAAGAAATCACCAATCTTTTATCTTGAACACGAGGGTGGTGGGAAGACGGAGGGGGGGAGGGGGCGGGAGGTGAGGTGACAGAATGTCTGGCGTTTGTTTCTTTATTTATTTGAGATAAGATTTGACAGTTGGCGCTGAAGGCCTGCGTGTTTATTTCTCATTACTTAAGAGTGACTAAGCTCTTCTCATAATTTTCCACCCAAACGACCTGGGTGATTATAACTTACATTGGAGGGATTCTTGTAAGATAGTAATTTATTTGAATGTTTTTTTTTTCAATTTAAATTTTAATTGTTTATTCCTTGATAGAGGGAGGGGGATCCTAGTGCTGTCACTTGGTACTCCTGTACCATAACACCAGAAGCAACTGGCCAGTGTCACAAGTATATACAGTCATCCCTTGGTTATCGCGCCTAATTAGGACCCCGCCGATAACAAAAGTACAGAACCTATGGGATTTATTCTAATTGGTTCAGGCACCCATTTTATGACCATTTAGACCCATTAAATATACATATAATGTTATGGTAAATATCATAAACATACATAGGCATGGCTAGGTTTATTACAAAGTGATGAAAAGGGTACGCTTAATATTGTAGTCCACAAAACGTGTAGCTATGCTTTTTTTCATTTGGTCCCCCGACATTCGAATCTGTTTTCTCTCACATCAGGACGCCTGAGTCCTCCGTTTTCTCTCTTAATCTTAGAGTGCACCAGAAACTTTACAATTTTTAGTAATGCCACAGAATTTGAAATTGCAACTGGCAATTGTTGAGGCAACTAGATATGTCTGATTACAGCAAATATGTTATTGCCAATTTGTAGGTGAAAGATTTTATCCTCAATAGATGTAGGTTAACATTACACCTGGAGGCAAATGCTTAAAAAAGCCTAATCAAGGAAACATATTCCTTTAACACATAATATCTGACCAGTATGGGGAGGATCATCGTGTCTCCGTCAGGGGGTAGTGGAGTGGTGGTCCAGTAGGCGTCACGGAAGTGTTTTTTTGGGGGGGGGGCACAGACGATATGTCAGATCTAACCGGTGCATGACTTATATATATATATATATATATATATATATATATATATATATATATATATATATATATATATATATATATATATATATATATATATATATATATATATATATATATATATATATATATATATATATATATATATATGTTACTCATGCAAACCACAATGAAAAGTGGATAAGACAAATCTTGATAAACACACGTTTTCGTTGATATCTTCAGAGGCAAATCATGCCCCTGAAGATGTCTTGAATAAAGACTTAAAGCCAAGGCAATTTCAAGCCTATCTCCCGTGATTTTATCAAAAATATATATATATATATATATATATATATATATATATATATATATATATATATATATATATATATATATATATATATATATATATATATATATATATATATATATATATATATATATATATATATATATATATATATATATATATATATATATACATACATACATACATACATACATACATACATACATTGGTCCCTCGGCTAACGGACAGTTCAATTAACAAAATTTCGGTTGACGAATTAGCTCCCATAAGGATTTTCAATTCGATTAACGAACAAAACTTCGATTCACGAAATCCTTGTTACAAACACGTTTTGTTGTGAGCATCAGCTGATCGGCTAGTCCGCCAATACAGTACAGTTATACCCCGCTTTATGAGGTTTCACTTTCCGCGATTTCGCATTTACGCAATACCTCGCCAGAACCGGACTTTCACTTTACGCGATGCATCTACCCATATACGTAAAACAAAAAAATAATTTTTGTTTATCCTAGGAGATGGGCGGAGGTGCATCTGGGGAGACTGTCAGTCTTTTTAGTATTTTGTGTTTCTCTCAAGTGCCAAAGTAAATTATTCCATTGAAACAATGGAATAATTGGAATAAGCGACCACTCTTGGAATGTATCTCGTGTTATATCGACGTTCTACTGTAATAATAATATGATGTTTATAAAGTGGTCCCTCGGTTAACGAGCGCCTCGGTTAACGAGATTTCGGTTAATGAGTTGCCTTCCATAAGATTCTTAACTTCGTTATTCGGTTCACGAGCAATCCCTCAATTAACGAGCTTCTTACTAGCCGACCTCAACATGTTTTCGCTTGCATTGGGCGGTCCACCAGCTGTAGTATTAGTCCGCCAATACAGTAATCGGTTCTAGGGCTTAAATTCCTTACCATTTTAGTAAATATCAAGAAGTTTTTCCTATTCAATAATTTTAAAGGTTTAATATTAAATTTTTTGTCATTTTAACAATTATTGAACATAATTGAAGGTAAAGTGACTAGTTTTATGCACGCCATCCAGCCTCTCAACACACCAAACAGGTGCCAGTCTCTCTTTTCAGTGGAGGTAACATCTTGCTTGAGACTCTCTTCAACTAAACTCTTTTTTCTGTGTTTACAAGCAAATTATTGGTCATTTTTAAATTTATTTTACATATTGACAATCTATATTGCAGTTCAGTGTTGATTTAAAAAAAATAATCTTGAATTACACCAAGAGAACTAAAATTTTATGCGTGAAATGGCTCCATAGGGTGACTTCTCTTCCATCCCAATGCCTTCTCTTCTCCCTTCTCCTCCACCCCCATTCTAATTCCCATTATCATCCTCATCAACCAGGAGCCTTCTACATACACATCTTAAAGTAAGTGTACTTTTCTACCTTTTTTGTTGAATTTAGGCAATTTTTGGTGAGCTGGAACCAATTACCCAAAAACCCATTGAAACAATGGTTTCGGTTAACGAGTTATTCAGTTAACGAGCAACCTTCTAGAACGGATTGTGCTCGTTAACCGAGGGACCACTGTACTCAAATTAATCAATGTCTTACAAGGATTCCAGCAATGTAATTTATATTCTGCTAAGTCTAGTCAGCTAAATTTTTTAAGATAAAAAACTTAAAGCCTAAAATACCTTCACCCTGTTTTGGGAAGGCTTCTTAGGGACGCTTCTTACTCCAGAATCCCCAAAAATTGTGTCCACATCTTCCGAAATCTGCATTTACCAGGTCCTGATCTTCGAGGGTTTACTGTAATATATATACTGGTACTGTATTAACTTTTTAATTAATTACCCTGTCCTGTATTTTTAATACAGTATATTTCTTTTTACAGCTGTTATCATGTCCGAAAATCCTGTGTTGATATTTTTGTTCAGTGGCAAACGCAAATCAGGCAAGGACTACATCACTGATTTATTACAACAGAGGTATGTACAATTGTAAGGGGCCATTTTCTTTTCATTTACAGTATAGTCTCAATTTACGCAGATTTGGTTTCCGCGTTTGGTCATTTACGCGGCACCTTGCCAGACCGACAATTTTTATTTACGCGGTTCATTCCATCATTTACGCGGGAAGCGGCGCGGGCAAGGTGCGCACAATGTCGCCCAGTCAACAAAATATTACCGAGTTCTTCACCCGCCACCCACCGCAGCCAGCCCAAGTCAGTGATAGTGATAGTGAGGATATGGACTTTGAGGAGTTTGACAAAGAGGCCCTGCTGCAAACCTCTGTGGTGGATAGTGATACAAGTGATACAGGTGAGGGCCAATAATCTACCTTCTGCCTTGGAACCAATCCCCCATCCCTGTGTGCCCAGCCATCTTTTCTACTAACGTAAGTGTTAAAAAGCCTAATATTATTGATATTTCTCTTAAATATTAATTGTGGGTGCATACCATCATAAAATTAAGATGTTATTTTTACTACAACGTACGTATTGTATCGGAAAAAGTGAAGTTTGGGGGTCGGCCCAGTCTATTTCAATTAATCCCATATGTTCTGTTATTTCGTTTACATGTTTCTCGTTTTACGCGGACCTCCACGGGTTTAATTGACCGCATGAACCGAGACTATACTGTATTATTAATCCTTCTTACTTTATCCTTTCAGTTTTTTCAATTTATTATATTAGTGATCCCTCGGTTAACGAATGGTTCGATCAAAGAAATTTTGGTTTACAAATTAGCTCCCATAAGGATTTTCAGTTTGATTAACCAACAAAATTTTGATTTACGAAATCCTTACGACAAACATGTTTTGATGTGCCCATCAGCTGATCGGCTAGTCAGCCAATACTGTACCTGTACAGTAATTGGTTCTATGTTTACATTCGTTTCCAGTAGATTAAATATCAAGAAAGTTGATCTCTTGATATTTCTGCATTTTCCATATTAAAATTATTGGTTATTTTGAAATTTAGTTAACATATTGATAATATATACAGCATGGGGAACAGTTTTTGTTCGCCCATCGGCTGATTGAATCACCCAACAACGCTTCTCAGTTTAACTTTGTTTACAGTGGCGTGAACATTGACTTTGTTGGTCTCTGGAATATTTTTGCATTTTTACATCGACTACCTCTATACTCAGCTGTTTGATATTTAAACAAAGCTGCCGGGAATACGACATACACACCTCAAAGTACCTAAGTTAAAATACATTATTCTATTGTTTTTTATTTATTATTGTAAAGTACTGTATACTGTACAGTACAGTACTGTACAGGTATTTAGTTTATATTTAATGTTTGTTTTTAATTCTATTACCGGTATACAGTACTTTGTATGTATATTTTTCTGTGAGTTGGAGCCAATTACCCAATATCCCATTGAAATAATAGATTCGGTTAACAAAATTTTTGGTTAACGAACGACTCTGTGGAACGAATTGTGTTTGTTAAACGAGGGACCACTGTATTCTGTTCTGTGTCAGTATCTGGGAACCCACAATCTTTTCAGTAGTTAGGAAATTGTACTGTTACAACCACCCAGAATTTTAGTTAATATAGCATGAATAGCAGAGACATCAACCATGAAGCGTGCAAATCCGTGAGGTTATGTAGAAGAGTCCACTGCTACTGTAAAGTACAGTGCAGTACTACCATACAGCAGGAAGGCACTTTAAATGTTAGAGAATTATCATAAAAAATACATTATTCCTGTTATTTTGATATTTTTCTTACAAGTATACAGTTATTATCTGTTTTGAGGAGAGTCTTTTAACATTTGTTGTTGTGAGCTTGATTGTACTCCCTGGTTGCCTTCTTAGCTGCCATTAGAAGTTCCTTTGGAGGTTCGAATTTATAAGCTGGATTCTTCATTGGAAGAGCCATTTTAGTAATAACTGTGCTCCCAAGGGTTTCTTCTGGGTCTAGATTGGGGCAGAAGAATGTTTTATTTTTCCTGACCATTGAAAATCTCTTTCTTCAGCTGCATTTGAGTGTGGTATTGTAAGAATCAACTGCACCACTTGCCTGAGAAGCGAGAATTGGGTGCTGTCATCTGTATTGCTCCTGGTGGACAAGTGTTCCCAAACAACATCCATGGAATGTAGACTGGGTTTACCTGATTTAACAGTATCCTCAATGTTTGTTGCTGCCTTTTCCTACACTTCTGCTGGCACAGCCCTTTCTTCTAGCAACTGATAAGAAATTAATTCCTCCTTTATTAATTCCATTTTTGCTATATCACTGTTAAATGGACGGAGAGATGAATACCAGTCAATGAAGTATTCAAGTTGAGACAATTTTGCTGAATCTTTCTTTGCAATTTTGAGAAACCTAACATTCTTGAGCACAGGGTTATCTCGAGGCAAATGGCTTTTAGCGTAGTTAAATGCTTGTACTGTACTGTACATAAAGAGATCTAATGTCATGGTAGAACCTTATGATCACTGAACATTTTCTGGAGTGCACATTTATTGAGATTCCAATGTGCAGCTGCTCATCAGTCTTCATGGTCATGCCATCATCAAGGTTTATCATCTCTGCTCCAATGTCTTTCACCTTCTTGACATCTAGAAATCAGCAGTCAAGTTATTTAAGAAAATCATGCAAAACTGAGATGAGTGGGTCTCCAGTTGAATGAACTTATTCCCAATGATAAACAGTTGTAGTACCGACTAATGAACTTGTCATGGGATCCTCAAATTGTTACTGCAGACATTTATATCTTGCCTGGCTGTGAGATAGGGTGGACTCAAAGGTATTTTGTCTTATTAACTCTCCTCCTTTAGTTGACAATCTTTCTTCCATTTCTCTTTGCCACAATGTTGCTTCACTCTCTCTCTCTCTCTCTTTTACAGGTACTTTAACGGACAATGGTTGGTGGATTTGGCATCCTGTGTACCGCCGGCAAGGCCATGGGCTCGTAACACACGTCTTGCCCGCGGTGCCAACCGTTTCTGTGTGGATGTCGGTCACACTAGAATAACCCGTTATAGTACAACCTTCTTTCCTCACACAGCCAAACTGTGGAATGCTCTGTCTTCTTCTGTGTTTCCATACTCATACAATGTCTCACTTTAAAAAGCTGGTTTTCCGGCATCTTCTTGGTGTAGATTAACACAGTATAACCTTTTTCTTCTCTATTTTTAATATCTGGTTTTTTTCGCCCCCTAGGCTCTATTGTGGGTCGTTCGACCTGTGCCCTGGTGGGCTAATTCCCGTAAAAGAAAATAAAAAAAATCACTGCTCATGAAATATCTTTTGATTCTAACAAACTTCCGTAATGTTCTGGAAATAGCATTTTCCAGGTTCAACCAGTGGTTTGATACATGTTTGACCATGCTGGCATATTCTTTATCACAAAACATACAAAACAGTATTCTTGAAGAGACAAGTTCCTTTTTGTTGATTTGTCAAACCAGTAGTAAATGTCCACACAGAAATCTTCAACATCAAAGTCTGTTGTTTTTGTGTAAGCATCTCCAGCCTTGCAAGCAATGTTGTGAAAAGTGTGGCAAGGGCAGCCATTGAAGAAAACAGCTGGGTTTTTTTGTGGTTACCCGAGTCATGGTTAAGTTTCTCTCTCCTCGTTTTACAGAAGCATTAGCGGTTATCTCATGAAATGTTATCGTGCATTAAGGTTTCATCCATTTTCTTAAAAAAATGTCTTCAGCTGTAGATCCTTTGGTCATGCACATGTCAAACAGCTGAGTACACACTCCATCACGAGTGAAAATGTGTACCGTTAATGGGATCATTTTCAGCAGTCCTGTGTCGTTTGATCAGTTGCTAAAGAATATGACTTTGATTATATTTCTCCAACCAATTATGATTTAAAATGTTGTTTAAGTGCCCAGTTCATAATGCATGTAATTTTCATTTTCTTTGCTGCATATCCTGTGGCTCTAAAATTTTGCCAGTGAGCGGAAGGTGTAGAAATCGATGAATTTTGGGTTTATCCTTGAGACCACGAGATTGACTTGAAAATCCTTGAGACTCACGAAAAATCTGTGAGAGTTGACATGTCTGCAACAGTAAAACCTCTGAGTGAACTTGGTAGCTGACGCAGAGGTTGTATTTCATGACAACAAATATCAGAAAGTATGAAGGGTGATACTGTACAGTAGGGAGTGACAGTTTGGCAAAAGTTTTCAAAATCAAGTGGCTTGGGTTGGATTATTTGTCTATCGGCCACGCTGGTTCCGAATATGTTTGAATCTTTAACATCAGTGCATTAGAAGGTTTGTGGATACTTTTCGGTTCGACATAAAAAAAAACAAGAATAATGGTAGACATTCTTTATTATTGGCATGTATGCTTCAATTTATCAGCAGCACACTAGCACAGTTGGCACACTAACATTGGCTGTCCCCACAGTGTCCCCTCAGTCCCAGTGTCCCCACAGTCTAGCACTGGTAGTCCTCTTTCTTAGCCCTCCGCTTGTTTCTCTTCCTGGCCTCCAGCTTGTTCCAGGTGACCTGGTCCTGCTGCCAGGCAGAGCTGGCCACGTCTGCCGCCTCCGTGGTGAGCTTCACTCCTCTTTCCACTGCGGTGGTGGTGCAGGGCAGACCTGGCTCACTGTACGGTTCCTCCAGAAATTGCTCCAGTTCCTGGTCACTGTGCTGGAACAGGATGGGAGGGGAGGAGCTGGCCTTCTGCAGATCAACCAACTCTGACAGCTTGGTGGCTGCCAGATTCAGTTGAGGGTTCCTCACTTTCCTCACTGTCTTTCTCTTGTGCCTTTTTTCCTTCTTCCTCAGCTGCTTGATGATGTTTAGGGCCAACTCCCTCTCACTCTTGTCCATGGAGGCCAGCAGTGAGACCAGCACCACCTCGTGCTGGCCGAAGTAGCCGTTGAACTGGAGGTATGGAGTAAGCAGCTCCACTTCCTCCAGGGTGCAGTACGTCCTCACCCGGTTGATGATGGCGAGGAGGTGGCGTGGGCCCTCCAGTAGCAGATTCCTCTGCCTGATCTCCA